AGACCTTCAGAAATGGGAAATAATTCAATTTTTAGAGTTAAGTGTTCTCTGTATATGCACCAAAATCTTTTAATAGCTAACAAATGATTTCATAAAACTGAAAAGCCAGAATATCTTAAGAAGTAAGCACTACCTCCAACACTGAATATATGAAAAAGCATTGAATTAGATGGTCTAAATGGGTGAATTTTATAGTATGTGACTTATATCTCAAGTTGTTTAAAAATACAAGAAAAATAAAAAAATAGAAAGACAAGAACCACAGTCACTACCATGATTCTCTGTTGTGATCCACACTTTTTATAGCCTTTTTATGGAGAAAAGGAATTTGCTTCTCTCCAGAGGTCCTAGGTGATATTTTATGTTTGAATTGCATATCAATGTGTGTTTTTGCTCAGCATACTCTTGAAATAATATTAACCTGTAAGAAAAAAATACAAAGATCTACATATGACTTTAAAGTTATTAATATTTAGTATTTGTAAAGTATTTTTATATCCAACTTGCCCGTAGAGTTGGGGAAATAGATGGGGAAACAATGGAAACAGTGAGAGGCTTTATTTTCTTGGGCTCCAAAATCACTACAGCTGGTGACTGCAGCCATGAAGTTAAAAGATGCTTGCTCCTTGGAAGAAAAGTTATGACCTATGTAGATAGCATATGAAAAAGCAGAGACATTACTTTGCCAACAAAGGTCCGTCTAGTCAAAGCTATGGTTTTTCCAGTAGTCTTGTATGTATGTGAGAGTTAGACCATATAAAAAGCTGAGCGCTAAAGAATTGATACTTTTGAACTGTGGTGTTGGAGAAGACTCTTGAGAGTCTCTTGGACTGCAAGGAGATCCAGCGAGTCCATCCCAAGGGAGATCAGTCCTGAATATTCATTGGAGGGACTGAAGCTCCAATACTTTGGCCACCTGATGCGAAGAGCTGACTCATTTGAAAAGACCCTGATGCTGGGAAAGATTGAAGGCGGGAGGAGAAGGGGACGACAGAGGACGAGATAGTTTGATGGCATCACTGACTCAATGGACATGAGTTTGAGCAAGCTCCAGAAGTTGGTGATGGACAGGGAAGCCTGGCGTGCTGCCATCCATGGGATCCCTGAGTTGGACAAGACTGAGCAACTGAGCTGAACTTCCCATAGAGTTAATATCTTCCATATTTTGCAAATGATGCAACTTTCTGCCTCTGTTTCTAACTGCCAGTTACCACACTTATACCTACTTTTCCTCATATAGCACAGATTGCCAGGGCTAGGAATACTGAAAACTTAAATCATTTGGCTCTGCAATATTAGTGTTGGATTAAAACCAAATGCAAGTGGCAAAATAACACATGGTGAAAGCATGGGCTATGCTTCTCTGATGACAGACAGAGTTGAATTAATTCTTTGAGAGGAGGTGTGAATACACATGTATAATGATACTTTAACACAACTGTGAGCAAAATATTTTGTCACATTCCCCTGTGTTGTTAGCTTTGGTCTGCCATCTGCCATTCTTGCATTGACGGGCTTAGAGCACCCATGAAGAGCAGGGACTTGCAAGAGGCTACAGAGTTTCTACTGAAAGATAAATTAGATCCTTGGGTTTCTGTTGTTTTTTTCCTGTGTATCTGCTGAGGAGTGATTTCTTTCTCTAGAGCTCATTACAGTACATCAAGCATTTCTTTTTTGGTGTTGTGTATATGAAATACTTGTGAATTTCAATTTTTTAATCTGTCCTGATTCATGGAATTCCTTTTGTTTTACCTAATTTTTACTGCTTATGAATCTAAATTTATCAGGAAAAGTTAATTTCAGTATACTCAATTTAAGAATGCAGGAAAGTGTGTAATAAAAATTATACAGATTTCCATGTAATTTAATTAAGATTTTAAAGTCTCAGCACATGAAGGTTAATGATCAGAAATATTAAATCATATGGAAACACACTGCATTTCTAGACATTGCCAGTGGGCTCTTACTGCCAAGTGTATGGATGTCCTCTTTTAGTTGCTAAAAGATGAAAAGCATAAAAAGAGTATGAGTGATTTTTTTTTTCCATTTATTTTTATTAGTTGGAGGCTAATTACTTTACATCATTGCATGAGTGATTGTTTTTAAGTGAGTGATGTGAAACTTAGATGCCCAATAATCCAAACCAAAACAGCTCTTAACTCTGTGAAAAGATCAAACTTTTGTCATAAGCATGTATTGTATATTCCCTCTAAATCAGTTCAGTTGCTCAGTCATGTCCAACTCTTTGCGACCCTATGAACCGCAGCACGCCAGGCCTCCCTGTCCATCACGAACTCCCGGAGTCCACCCAAACCCATGTCCACTGAGTCGATGATGCCATCCAACCATCTCATCCTCTGTCATCCCCTTCTCCTCCTGCGCTCAATCCTTCCCAGCATCAGGGTCTTTTCAAGTGAGTCAGCTCTTCACATCAGGTAGCCAAAGGATTGGAGTTTCAGCTTCAACATCAGTCCTTCCAATGAATACCCAGGACTGATCTCCTTTAGGATGGACTGGTTGGATCTCCTTGCAGTCCAAGGGACTTTCAAGAGTCTTCTCCAACATCACAGTTCTAAAGCAATTCCCTCTAAAACAGTCTGTATATAATCTTTGCCCTAAATTAGGGTTAATTAACCTAGCAAGCTTATTCTGTACAGATGAGAGCCAGTAACCCTTCCTACGTCTCAGCTGTGACAACCAAAAATGGTTCCGGATATTGCCAAATGTTCTTGGGGTGGTGGGCAAAATCACCCCTGGTTGAGAACTGCTGCTCTAAATATATTAGAGAATGGGAGCAATGATGCAGATTGATAAGACTCTGGAAGAGAGTAGGGTGGAACTCAAAGTGTTGTTTTGATTATTTTAAGGACTAAAGACCAAAGTTTTGAATTTATTTTATTTTTTTTAATTAATTTTTATTAGAGTATAGTTGATTTACAATATGTTAGTTTCTGCTGTACAGAATCAGGTATATATATATATATATATACACACACACACACACGTATATATACGTATATATATGTGTATATATATATCTCTCCATTCTTCCTAGATTGCTTTCCCAATAGGCCATTACAGTGTGTTGAGTAGAATTCCCTGTGCTGTACAGTTGCTTCTTTAGTTATCTGTTTTCTATGTAGTAATATGTATATGTCAGTCCCAATCTCCCAATTTATTCCTCTCCACCCCTTTCCCCTTTGGGAACCATAAATTTGTTTTCTACATCTGTCAATCTATTTCTGTTTCATAAATAAGTTCATTTGTATTGGGTTGGCCAAAAAGTCCATTCTAGTTTTTCCATATGATGTAATGGAAAAACCTCAATAAACTTTTTGGCTAACCCAGTAACACTGGTTTTTTTTTTTAATATTCCACATATGAGTGGTAACATAATGATATTTGTCTTTTGTGTTTGACTTCACGCAGTATGACAATCTCTAGGTCCATCTGTGTCCTTGCAGATGGCATTATCTTGTTCTTTTTTATGGTTGAGTAATATTCCATTGTATATACATACATACCACATCTTCTTTATTTATTCATTCATCCATCAGTGGACATTTAGGTTGCTTCCATGCCCTGCCTGTTGTAAATAATGTTGCAATGAATATTAGGGTGTATGTAACTTTTTGAATTATGATTTTCTCCGGATACATGCCCAGGAGTGGAATGGCTGGATCATATGATAACTCTGTCTTTAGTGTTTTAAAGAACATGCATACTGTTCTCCATAGCGGCTGTACCAATTTACATTCCCACCAGCAGTGTAGAAGGGTTCCCTTTCTCTACACTCTGTATAGCATTTATTGTTTGTAGACTTCTTTGATGATGGCTATTCTGATTGATGTGATACCTCATTGTAGTTTTGATTTGCATTTCTCTAATAATTAGTGATGTTGAGCATCTTTTCGTGTGCCTCTTGGTCATCTGCATGTCTTCTTTGGAGAAATGCCTATTTAGATCTTCCACCCATTTTTTGATTGGGTTGTTTGTTTTTTTGACATTGAGGTGCATAAGCTGTTTGTGTATTTTGGAAATTAATCCCTTGTTGGTCACTTTGTTTGCAAATATTCTCTCCCATCCTGTGGATTGTCTTTTCGTTTTGTTCATAGTTTTCTTTGTTGTGCAAAAGCTTTAAGTTTAATTAGGTTCCATTGGTTTATTTTTGTTTTTATTTTCATTACTCTAGGAAGTGGATCAAAAAAGATCTTGCTGCAATTTATGTCAGAGAGTATTCTACAAATTGATTAAATGCCCCAGCCAAAAGACATAAACTAGCTGAGTGGATTGAATTTTACTTTTTAATGAAAAAGTTAAAAAGGAAAGTGTCTGGTTCAAAGATTTGCTCTTAAATAACCATCAAACAGTGTACATGTCTTATAAGAAGATTCCTTTATCCCAAGTTATTTTGTAATCATTCCAAGTTATTTTGTAATCATTCCAAAGGGGCTTAACAGAAAAATCAGACTTAATCCTCTTTTCTAGAATATATTTTTAGGTTACTGAAATCACCTATAAATAAATGCGTCTTTATTTCAAAAAGTCTTCCTGGAAGAAATCAGACTTAATTAACCCGTTTTCTCCTTCACAGACTGCCTTGAAAGTTCTTAAAGCTAATAGATTACAAGGTTAAACAATCTTGCCAACTTTTTAATAAAATGAGCTTTTCTTTTTTTTTTTTTGTATTTTGTTGTCTACACTCAATCCCCCACTCCCCGCCCCGTCCTGCCTCCCATCCCACCCTTTATAGAATATGATCATCATCAGGAGTTTTTAGCTTTTCTGTCAGGGTTCTTCTAACTTTTTTATGGCCATTATAGCCATTGGTCATCTACCAGAACACTGATAATTCATTTTTTACCTTCTATATGTTAGCCACTGGACACTGTAACACTCATGTGTCCTGAAGCCACAGTTATTTCACACGGTGGCTGTGAAGGTGGCACAGTGACTCTCGCCCTCACTTCTCTTTCACTTTTGTCTTTCTCACGCAGCAGCAGCCGTTGAGTCAGCAGACCGAAGTCCTCGGCCCACCTCTGCACCAGCCATTGCTCCGAGTCAAGCCGCGGAGGGCGGTGTCCCAGGTGCACCTGTCAAGAAAGCACAGAAGGAAACAGTGCAGGTTGAAGTGAAAAAGGAAGAGGCACCACCTGAGGATGCTGAGCCAGAGCCCACAGAAGCATGGAAGGTATGTCGTAAGCCCAGAGGTCCAGCTCACTCACTTTCTGATTCAGAGGTGTTGACTCTTTGACCAGGAGGGTTCTCAAAGCACTGGTTTTTGTTAAATCCTAACAAAGTTATTTCTTCCTCACTCTTTCTGAAAGAAAGTAGCTCCCTGTAAACCTGTAAAATATTTTCAAAGAATTATGTCATGAAGACTGTAAGCTGTCCCAGATGTTTTCAGGTGACACACAGCTTTACCCAACTTAAATTTTAGAAACTGAGTCTGTAAAACACACCAGCACTGTGATCATCTGCTTTTAAAAATAATTTTTACTCATCCAGAAGGAATCTCCACATTCCTTTCTAAGAGTAAGCTCAGCTAGTATGATTAAAATATAATTTGATTTCCTAAAATGGATATATGTGTAACGTGCCCAAAGAATATCCAGATATTATATGAAGCACATATATGTGGTTGTTCAAATCTTAAGTAACTTTATAAAAAGAAGATCCATTATGTAAGGAAAGTTATGCTACTGAGTTGTTTATAGTTCTGAGTTGATTGTACCACAGTCACTGAACTTTGTTGAAAAATCACAAGTTTCATTAGTAGATTTCCCAGAAGTAACTGTACCTGAACTCATCTTTTATATGTTGATGAGCTTTTAAAAATACATTTAAGCAGCGATAGAGTTGTGGTGTCAGTTTAGATTTATTAAAGTAAATACAAGTCTCACTGTTGACTACAGAATTAAGAGAAATGATCTTTATAAGGAAAGCTACATTTTTATATGTCTGTTAAGAAATGTAAAACTGTGTAAGACCTTAGTAAGTGCTCTCACCTTGGCAGATAGATTGATTAATTCTGTTCTTTTGGAGCCAGTTCAATATCTAGCTTATCTATAAAGTGTGGCCAATCTGGCTCTGTTTTGATTGTATTAAAAAAGTATTCGGTGTGACATAGTTCTCACTGTCCTTTGAGACCAACTTGAGTCCAGAGGTAGGGGGAGATTGAATGAATGGTTAAGTGTTTGCATTTTTCTATCTAGCCAGATGTGCTTGCCATTGGCCACAAGGTTCTGCATCAGCAGTGCCTTTTTGATGCTAGACTACTTCAGTTTTTAATGTTAGGGTAGCTCACCTGGCACTTTGACCATCTTTTCATTTATATTGCTAACTGAAAATGTTGAATTACTGGAAGTGGCAAGGGAATCTTTCTGGTGGCTAAGATTCCTTCGGCTTTGTGCTAACTTCCTTGTTCTTTCACCTATCTGGCAGACACAAGTATTTTCATGAATAGGTTCCCTTTGCTTTTGGGACCTCAGCAGAGTGGAGAGATCACTTCCTGTTATATGCTCACCATTTAGGTGCCAGTAGGGGGCCTTCTTGCTGGTTAATTCTATATAAATACATTTTGAGACGCTTGTATTGAGATCAGACTGAAAGCCACTTCTGATAACCTTCTATTACTGTACTAATAGTGACAGAGCTAACAGTGACTTGAGTTAATTTTATTTGTAGCAGTTAGAAACAAATTATGGCATTTGCCTGAAGCTATATTTACTATATAAAGCTGCAGTAGTAATAAAGTAGCCCTGTAATTGTGGAAATCTCATTACCTAACACTAATTTGGTGCCAGATAGAGAGCTTTTTGGCATCTTGAGTCATTTGACAAGACCTATTTTGCAGGTGTGGAGACAGGACCTTTCCTCCTGTGCATATTTATCTCAGTTAATATTCTCTATAGGAGTATACACAGAACTATTGTTGCTTGGTCTCCATTCTTAAACTGAAGTAGAGGCTCTCAGCTTCTTGCTATTGGATTGCTAAGGGCCCAAAGCACGAAGTCATTATTCATTTAAACAAGTAATTTAAGCTTTACCAAATAATTCAAAACTTCCATTTGCTAAGCATTCACAACTATGTGAAGATATTATCTTCATTCTATCAATAAAAAACTTGAAACTCAGAGAGGTGAAATGACTTGTGAACAGCCACACAGCAAGTCTACTGGGATTCAGAGCAGAAGTAACCCAAATTGTTTCTTACCCCAGCAGTTAAAAGGGCTGTAGCCAGATGTGCTTACGATTTGACAGTGTCACAAAGTTTGGTGTCGTCTTATGTTCCTTATATTCTGTCCCAGAGAAAACAGCACAATGACATTATATTCTGAGGTAAGGCTGCCAAATGTGATCAAGAAGAAGATGTCAAGGAAATTCCCTGACCGTCCAGCGGTTAGGACTCTGCGCTTTCACTGCTGAGGGCCCAGGGTTCCATCCCTGGTTGGGGAACTAGGATCCAGCAAGCTGCTTGGAAGCCAAAAAAAAAAAGAATATGTCAAAACTACAAATTAATGAAGTTCTGTGAAGAATGTAAAGATACAAAGTGATTGATTTGACCCTTAATAAAAACATTTTTCTCATTTTGATATATCCAGTGCTTTAGGCATTGCTTACTATTATTGCTTTCTCTTAACAATCTTGTTTTTTAAATTTATGCTTACTCTACTTGGGGCATATAAAATGACCGCTACTAAAGGTATTTCAAAGCTAAGCAGGAGGCATTAGTTACTATCTTCCTACTACTAAGGATGAATCTTTCACATCCACCGAACACATGGGCTCCCGCTCCCTGGAGAGGAGAGTACAGTGTGTTGAATGTTGAAGCTGAGCCCTGTGTGTGCTTATTTATAAACCTGCCTTGGAAGTAACTGCATGCGTCAGTAACATTTGCATTGAGTTTATTTTGATGTGTTGTTGTCTAATAAACTCAAGGGTTAAACTGCTTCCTTAAGTAGATTGATCAACTAACAGAACTTTTTGTATTTACCTGTTTGGTGTCATATGTGATTTATTTTATGTGTGCTTTAAGTGTAAAGATTTTCTTTTTGTTTCTGTCATGTATGTCACACATGGGTATCTTCATTTGTATGTTTGTTTTTAACTGTCATTTAAAATACTTCTACATTTTTTGAAAAGGAAAACATGACTTTTTAAAGCCTAAGTTATTATTTTTAGTAAGTACTTTTTAAGAAACAAATAGAAACATGTGTTCTTCATCAATAGAATAATTACTTTAATTTTTTTTTTTGATCCTTTGGCTGTCCATATTACCTCCTCAGCCTTGAGAATGTGATGGTGAACTGACAGATTGCTGTTGGGAGCAGCGTCCTTCCCTGTAACACCCCATGTATGATTGCATCATTATGATTACTTATCAGTTTATTTCACAACCACCTAAAGATGTGGCTGTTTTGGAAATAATGCCATTCATAGAAACCTACTAACCTGAAATGTTTTTACTACTTTATTTCTTAACTGTAGGTGGAAAAAACCCACATCGAGGTCACAATACCCACCCCAAATGGTGACCAAACACAGGTTTGTGCCAGCAGACCACTTGTTCCTTTTTCCCTCCCTCCCTAATTTTTTCTTCTCCCGTCTCCCCTGCTCCTTATATAAAATGAAGGTTCAAACAAACTTCAGTGAGTCAATATTTTATCATTTTTCTTTTTTTTTTTTTTCTAATAATGGCAAAACAGAAGCTTGCAGAAAAACCTGAAGATCTGATAAGAATGAGGAAGGTTAGCCATTTTTCACTTTCACAATATCATATTACCATCACCCCTGCTGACTTTCATATTGCATTAAAAAGACAGTGATCCATTCTTTTCATTGATTTCTCTTAAGCTGGGAGTACTTTCAAGTAGCAGATGTACACACACACACACACACACATATACACACAAATGTATATATATATATACACATATGTATACTAAAGAAATTATAATCCTGTACTATATATTGAAAATAATCATTAAAATAAACTTTTTCAGTGTGAAAACACCTTCTTAAACACAGTGAAATAATAGTGAAGGCCAAATCTATCCTTTAAACTATAGAAATATTTCACAGTGGCACCATATGCTTGGAATCAACAATACGCACTCAGTATTTATGCTCAATGGACTTGAGTTTGAGCAAACTCTGGGGGTTCGTGAAGGACGGGGAAGCCTTGTGTGCTTCTGTCTATGGGATCATAAAGAGTCAGACATGACTTAGCAACTAAACAACAACATTATGGAAACCATCATAGCAACAACTCCTGGTGTTGCTAATAACTATGGGTTTGGCTGTTCTGTGTCTCACTCTTCTCAGCCAGGGAGTGGGATGAGTGTTTTTACTGAATAGAATATTGACTGACTCTGTATAAAATGTCCTTAGATCTTTCTTATGGAAGGTATTAGAGATGTACGTACTGCAGTATTACTAAATATGAAATAATGTCAAAAAGCTAAATAATCATTTTCTTACTTCATGGAACACAGAGTTTCAAGACTTCTTAAAGTCATGTGTTTTAAGATAACCCTCAAATAGCTTAGCTTCAAAAAGGAGCATAAAACAGCTTGTTATGTAAGAAGCCAATGAAGCCAGGAGCACTGTCTGTTTAAATAACATCATCGCATTCTCCCCATCATTCATGAACAAGGCCATCCATTTTCTGCTGGTAATTGTGTCCTCTGTGTGTCCTTGTGGTTCTGTAACCATTTCATGTTGGCATATGCTTCGCTGTGGACATTTAATTTTAAATATTTTTTTGGTTTGCCAATTTGCAGTTTTTTCCCGCAAGAACAACATTTTAATTTTTTATGCTTTTCTGTTTTTCCCTCTTTCATTTTCACAGAAAAAGAGAGAGAGACTAGATGGTGAAAACATTTATATCAGACATAGCAATTTAATGTTGGAGGTTTGTATGAACTTGAAGCTTATTTCAGTTGGTTGCCTGTAACCTGCATTCTTCGCTGATCCCCTTTCTTCTTTCTGGGCTGCATTTGGTTTTGCATGCTGTTGCATGAGAGAACTTTAGGTTTAAGATGCTTTTGCATGTTGGTAAACATAAAGATATGCAACCATCTCTACTTCTGAATCTTTAGTTTCCATTTCTCATACTTACCCGAAAATATATGATTGGGACTAACTCTCTGCATCCCATGGTTCCATTGTTTTACCCACTTTTAGAAAGAACAGTATCACTGTTTAAAAGTTTCTTGAATTGTCCAAGAGTATAAATTCCCATGTGTCTCAAGCATCAAATTTATATGGTTTTTTAATCTTCTGAACCTAGAGAGTGTGGAAAAGTATGATCACAATTCAAAATGGACTTGTGAAAATCACAAAAGAATAGTCGGGGGGAAAAAGTAAAATACAGGAAGAAAAGAATGGAGGCTGGCATTTAATGAGTAGTTCATATGATATAAGATAGTTTAATTATAAAACAAGTCTGAAAGTGAAAGTCGCTCAGTCATGTCCAACTCTTTGCGACCCTATGGACTGTACAGTCCATGGAATTCTCTAGGCCAGAATACTGGAGTGGATAGCCTTTCCCTTCTCCAGGGCATCTTCCCAACCCAGGGATCAAACCCAGGTCTCCTGCATTGCAGGCGGATTCTTTACCAGTTGAGCCACAAGGGAAGCCCAAAACAAGTCTATGGGTATGGAATTTTTATTTTAAAGAGAAAATTGAAGCTTAGAGAAATTAAGTAATTTCTTTGCGGTTATAGACTAATAAATCAGTAAAGCTCAGATTTGTGTTAGGATCCATCTAATTATTAAACTACACTTTTCTCCCATTCAGAAATAGCAATATACTATCTGCTATAGGAATTGTAAGGTCATTATACTCAATATTGATCAGATTTTCACCAAGCTTATATTAGTATACTTTATCTAGTTTCAGACTCCACACTGGATAAGGAAATATAAAACTAACTAGAAGATTAGAGGAATTCTATGAGGAAAAATGAAGGAAATTGGAGTGATTCTATGAAAAAACAGATCATGTTTACACATCAGAAACTCTTCTCTGATGACCTAATTATGACTCCACTCAAGACAAAACCAAAAGAAACAAATATAAATTCTGACATCATGGATTTAACTCAAGTACAAAGGAAATAAAACTGTGGGAAGATGATAAATGGTTCTTGCCTTCAGGAAGCATACAATGTAGGGACAAGTGGAAGGGAGAAACAGTGAATAAGTAAACTGATAAAATGATTACAAGTTATTATAAAAGCTGTGAAGGAAATAGACAGTATGGTATGCTAATAAAAAGGATCTGCTCCAAATAAGGTGGACAGGGACGTTGTCTCTGATAAGGTAATGCTTTGCTGAGACCTGAAAGGTGAACATATGTAACAGTAAGTATTATTAAAGTGGAAGTTTGAAGAAATTTTTTTAGATAGAACTCAGCCTCCAGGAATTAGTTAACCTCATCTTATTCTTTATCAATACATATATTTTGAGTGCCTGATAGGTATAAGATACTTTGATAAAAATAAACTATGGCCAGTTTTCATTAACCATGTACTGCGTGGTGGGCACAATACCAAGTGCTTCATATACGTTTTCCTCATGTAACATGAAATTTTCTTAGGCTGCACCCTAGGACATCTTAAACTTGGTATCTAGATCTCTTTGCTTTAGCACGTAAATGAAACTAGGCCTGAATGGTTCCACTTCTGAGATTAGGAAGAATAACAGATGTCAGTTGATCTCCTTAGCCTCAAGCAGTGTAACGTCTCCCAATTCCAAACATGCCTGTTTCTTGGCTTGCCTGTCTTTGATTCCTCCTAACTGGAACCTGCAGTACCAATCATATATTTGTCCTTTGTTCCATGAGGTGTGTTATGGCTTCTGAGACTCACAAAGTCCCTGTGTGTGATGTGTTTTTCCCAGCATTTCATTGACAGCCATGAGAGGGGATTTCTAAACAAGTGTGTGTTTGAAAATTAAAGCTACTAACCAGCTTTTCAGAATATTTTCTATTTAATGACGTGTTTGGTTTGATTGCTGCTAAAGTTATAGGATGATAGGCATCAAAAGGTGTCTCACCTGAAAACAGCCCAAATAGTTTGGCTAACCATCATTCTCTATATTGTAAAAGGTCCCCCGCAACTCCCCCCAGCCACTTAAGGAAATTCTCTCAAGTTATCTGTCATACTAGCAGATTTTTACAAGTATTCTCTCCTCCCCCTACTCCTACCCCACCCCCACTAATGCTTTGTTCTGGCACAAATAAGGTCGAGTTCATTTTTAGATCTGCCGCCGCCTCCTCCATCTCCCAAAGAGAACCTGTAGCAAGTGTCTATGACAATTTCTATTTGGAACAGGTCCCTTTGAAATCTTAATTTTCCTCTGTGCCCCCACAGGTTTCCAACAGAGCCAGCTAAAAAGGTTGGAGAAAGCTCCCTCAGAAGCTACTGATTTTATTGAAACATTTATTTTCTCAGATTCCAAGCCAAACAAAATCTAAGCAGGCCAAGTAACAAATCACCAGTCTCTCATAAGTAAGAGGCTAATAACCCAGAGAGTTATGGTTTTATCATAGCATCTCTTGATCATTTTTGTTTTGCTCCGTTCCCACCCTTAGCCCTCCCAGATCTGTTTAGTTGTTCTTGGCCCGAGCAGATTTGATTTTTGTCCGAAGCTAGGTCAAGAGCCATACATGTCTGGTGGGTCTCAGTTGTTCAGCCAACTGCGGAGTTGTTGACAGAGCTTGTTCCTGCTTTTCTTTAGCTAGTAAACATGATTTTCTTGCTTTCAGCTAGAACAAAAGTGCAAACTGTGGTTTCCCCTTGGTGACGCCCATTTCATGAGCTATACTCACATGTCACCCAGCAGGCAATGGGGAAGCTACAGGATTGCCCTTTTGGGGTTAGTTTTCTCTTTGATCTCAGATCACATAAACCTCTTTCAGTCTTGCAAAAATAAATAGACTACTAAATGAATTTTCTGAATGAATATCTCCTGAATCAAAATTGTGTCATATGCCTCACTGATTCTTTTTCTTATACTGTATTCTCTTTGACATTGCTTTTGAAGAAAATTTATTTAATTGAAGCCTCTATTGCCCCATGAGAAACTTTTTAAGCAAATTTTTGTTTAAACAAGTTCCTTCCCCACCCCACCCCACCCCCACCAAATGAGGCTGTTCCCATGGAGCCAAAAAAAAAAAAAAAAGACTAATCCTCAAAATTCACAGAGCATATTAAGAGATATATTTAGTATTATGCTTTTCTTGGATACAGAACTGCCTTGATATATAATAAACACAGAATTTTTAGCAGTCATCAAGTGACAGGCTCCCACATGTTTTGATTTCAAGCACAGATCTTTTGAGTTTTTTTGAAGAAATATGTTGGACAAAGAACATTTGAGTTTTTGTCTTCACATTGTATTTTCCAGATTATTTCTGGCCTAGTCTCTCTTTTGAAAGTTGGTTTCTGCCTCCTGTTACATAAACTTGAATGCTATTTATCATTTCTAGCTTTATTTGTCCAGTTTTGATCATTTCTCCTTGGAATATCCCCCATGAGAGTTTTTCCCTACTTGTCTGGTAGTCACATCTGCCTGAATAGTTATTTTAAGTTGTCAGTGAGACATAATAAGGTATTTGACAAGTTCTTATTAAATTGCTCCCCATCCATTGACATTTAATAGAAGACAGTTCCTATTTTGAATGGTACTAAGGGATGAAGTGAAACTGTCAGAAGGTAGAAAACATAAGTGTGTTTTAGTGTGTGTGGATACTATTGACAAAGAAAAAAATTCCATTATACTGTATACCCCTGAGTAATTACTCAGAGATAATAACAATCTGCTCTGGAGGCTCGAGCCAGGAATTTCAATAATACATTTTTGTGTCGAGAAGGGGTTATTCCTGTTTACCGAAACCCAACAACAGCCACCCAGTAATAAGAAAGCAAAACTCTCTCCAGGTAGAGATAGAGGGATACTGTGCAGTTGCAGTTCATTAAGGCAAGGCAGCCAGTGGTGGGAGCCAAATCTTTCACCATGTCCTTCCTGTTACAGTTTCTCCTTATCTATTGCTATCTCCACCCTGCCTGAGCTGAGCCTCAATCAGTTCCTATCAAGATGAGGCTGATTGGGCTGTAGGATTACCTGCTTGGAATGAGGAGTTGGAGATCCAGAGCTGTGACGTGATGGGAAGAAGGGTTGTAACATTCAGGACTGAGCTCTTATGGGTTCTATAACTGCTGACAGCTAGAGGGTGATGATGCTTTACTGCTTCCAAGAAAAGCACCATGTTAAAAAAAAAAGACAAGAAAATATACCGTATTGTATATTTACAATTTGAATGCAATTTATGGATTAATAACATCTATCCTGGATGTGGAGTATTTTCTACCTGTGCCCATAGTATTCTATGGGCTTCCATTGGTGTGGTCTTTTCCCTGGGTATTCATTATTTTGCATCTTTGTCCTTTCAACTATAGGATTTAGACAAAAGTCAAGAAGAGATCAAAAAACATCATGCCAGCATCAGTGAGCTGAAAAAGAACTTCATGGAATCTGTACCAGAACCCCGGCCTAGTGAATGGGATAAACGCTTATCCACTCACTCTCCTTTTCGAACACTTAACATCAATGGGCAAATCCCTACAGGAGAAGGAGTGAGTACTTTGTCTGTGTGATGAATTGTGAGAATGAATGAAATAAATGCTTTTGTATATTGATAATCTGTATCTGAAAGTTTAGAGCTGAAATTTAGCTTTGGTGTCTCATGTGTTCATTCCAGCTTTAAAGCATTCGTAATCAGACACTTACTTTTTAAGTCACATGGACCACCCAGTCCAGTTATGGGAGCCATTTAGAGCGACCAGTCGATGATTCGGCCCTGAGAACTGTCTTTGCAGCTGCATGCTTCTGGCTAGTGTATGTTTACAAATTGACCATAAGCCAGTAGAACTTTATGTCCAAACTGTGCCTTCAAGGACCAGAGACTTTACTAAATTTAGTAAGATCAAAATTGGAAAGGGATAAGCATTTTTTAAAAACTTTGTTTGAACAATTGCACAACTTAGAAATGTCTGGAATGGTTGACCACAATTATATAATAAACTGAGGCGGCCTCTAAGCCAGAAAATGGAGAATACCAAGTCTTAATGATTGTATTTCAGTTTTAGAAGAACTGTTGATGATTTATTTTATGAGTAACATCAAATTTAATATACTATTTTTTTTTGAGATAGTCACAGTTAGAGGTGGTGATACCTTTTAGAGGCTGTCCTTTTTCTATTGTTGTCATTCCCTATTTTAGAAATCCTACACCTGAATAAATGAATCTGTGTAATGAGAACATATTGAGAGTTACTTTGAGCACATATTCAAAAATCCTTTACTTAATCTTTACCCTGTACAGGTTAAATATGTATGTGTGTGTATGTATATATATAGTTATAGTCACAGTGTAATGCTTTTAAAATTATATGCTTATTTTCCCTGAAAATAATAGCAGTTCTATTTAAGAAAGGTAAAGTGATATCTTAATAATTTTTCAAAATTTAGTTTTTATATTCAGAGTTCATGGTAAACTATTCCAACTTACTGCTTAGTTTCTGGAACTGGAGAAGATAGTAAAAGTTTGTTCACAAAGGATACATTTTATATTTTTCAAAATGTGATTAAAATTGGCTAACAGCTCTCCAAATAGAGTTGAACCCACTTCACTAAGAAGGCTGGAGAATTCCTGAATGATGGGCAGTGAAAAAATTACCAGGGATGATAGGATGCAGTTTTTCCTATTCTCTGTCCTCTCAGCCTCCACTCCCTGGTCCTTAGCTCCGTATCCCAAATCTGAGCACGTTCCCTGGGGCATGAGACAGTGAGCACCTTCTATAAGCCCATGACCTCATGAGAAAGCACTTGTTGCTACCTCACCTGGCTAACCCTGCAACCCATAACTGCATATTTTCTAAATATGTTTTCTTTTTGACTCATTGCAGGTAATAAAAGATACTCAAATACTTTGAAAAAGTAACTTAGTACCCTCTTGGATGAGGTTTGCTAAATTCAAACCAGTCTCCGTTTCCAGAAAATAATCTTATGTCTTAATAGAAACCCTTCAGAAACCATCTCAGGGCTGGTTTAGGGAATATCTGTTTCATTCTGTGGATTTTGAAGAAATGACTTTTGCAAATTAAATTAGATCAATATGGAGTCCTTTAGCTCTAGGGTTATGGTATTACCCCTCTAAATGAATAATGTAATAAATTAGAACTATACTGTGATAACCTTTTATATAGGTTAATTCCACTTTCTGGCATATCTTACTTTTTCTTTGATAATTAGGGCAGTATTTCTGTTCTTTGGGGATACCTCTTCCACCTTTGACAGCATTGTTGTTGCATTGCAAGGCAACTGAATTTTATATAATTTGTGTGTGACCAGGTGAAGAAAAGCTCTGTCCTTCCCTCGGAAAGAAAGGTTGGTGGGCCAGAGGTAAAGCTGCTGTTACGACTTGTGCTTCTCAACCAAAATTTGCTCTTGTCATGGCACTAAGCAGAGAATCCCCCCAAAACTGGACAGCAGCTGCTCAATGATTTTTTTTTTTTCTTTTGGCTATACTAGTAGATTCATATCCACCGCCTTTGGACCTAACACATATAACATTTTCACTGCTGCATTTTGCAGCTTTCAATTTGCTTATATCGGCGCATGGCTGGTTGAAAAGCTGCATGAAGATGTAAATATGTATTCAGAGAGAAAAACGAATTTAATTGTACCCTATTCTTTTTATGTTGTCTTTCTTCTCCCTCTTATGTTCTTTTAAAAATCATTATAATTTTGCATCCTTTATTTTCCTTTTCTTCCTTTTTTTGCTGACCAGTCCCCCAGCTACTTTCTCCCTGATACATATCACTTAGGGGTGTGCAAAGAACCAGTGTCGAACTTCCGAACAGATCAGAGAAGGCTGGCTCAACTGAGAGAACTCAGAGCCAAGTTTTTCCTTTCATAGAAAACATCTGTCTGGACTGGATGGCAGAGTACAGGAATTGCTGGGGGAGGAAAATTTCTCAATTGGGAAAAAATAATTTTCCTTAAAAGTATCAAAAACATTTGCTTAATGTGATGTATAAACCTTTGTGATGGTCCTTATTATTATTTTAAATCATGATTCTGAGTGGGTGGGGAGGGAGTTTGTAACTATTGAGATTTGTGAGGGTTTGGGTTAGGATTTTTTTCCTGGTAGATCTTGGAGGCTCATATAAACTTTTATACTTTTGTTTTTCTTTTGCAATCTTTGAAATGTATAGGATTAAGATTTTTATTCCCTTGAGCAAAAGTTAATTGCCATACTGAATGAACTATTGCAGTTTTTTTAAGCCTATATGAAGAGATATGAGGATAACATTTTATATTCTGCCATTCTATTTGTAATAAAAGTAACTTTTCTGATGGCAAGAAGAATGCTTCATTATTAATTTGTCCAATTAATCTAAGAAAAATTGGCAGCACCAAAGCAATGAAAAATGACCGAAAATTTGTGTGAATATCCTTAAAAGAGGAATAAATACTGTAACTAATGAAGTCCATTGATTCCTTGAACATTGAGGACTTCTGATCTTCATTCATTCACTCAGAAAATTACCTATTGAGTACCCTACTGTGTTATAGAAACTTTGCTAGGATAATTGCCAAAGCAAAGTAAAATACAGTGTCCAAAAGATCTTCCCAAATCCTTTGCACATCCCCAAGTATCATTTTTGAGCATTTTCCATCTGTCATTTTGTTCATCTTTCTCTGTCTTTCTTGATCTTCTACCGTGAAAGCAGACACGGGAACGTGCTCTGTTAGTGCAGGACGAAGAGAAAATTAAAAGGCAAGAGAGATCCACTGAAAGAGCCTTGCCCCAGCAAGAAAACGAAGAAACTCTTCCCGAGGTTTCTATTCCAATCCCCGAGGATCACAAGTTTCTCAAAAAGTGCCGCCTCTCCTCTAGTACTTTTTCTTCTCCTCGGATTCCTTTCGTGATGTCTTTTCTCGTGGTTCTTGCATTGGCTGTCTGGTGGTTGGTCTTTCTGTGATCGGAAAGCAGGGGGCTCGTCTGAAATGTCAAGACTGAAACCATTGAGCTTTGTCTGGCTTCTACTGTGTTACCTCCTGTGTGTAACCCTCTGATCTGGATAGTTCCTGTCCCAGGGGTGGCTTGTGGTCATGTTCTGTCAATGCAATGTTACTCTTTGTAGACAGTAAATCATGGGGTACAAAGGAGCAGCCATGGATTGCCAAAGCCAGTTTTCTTCACCGAAGTTTAACAAGTTTAGGTAAATTGGATTTAAGCATGCGGCAGGTTGGTACTTTCCCCAGAAGCGTTCACTCTTTTATCCTGCATGTTCTTATTGTTTACTATTGCTCTGTACTCCTCTCCAGTGCTTCTCACAAAGCAGGGAATCCTGTAGACAAGTTTGATGGAGTGTCTTCCTAATCCTTGATAGTTACTTGTGTGGCATGGGCTTTGTAGTTTAAGAAAAAAATCAACTTGCTAACCTTTCCAAAGCCTTAAAATGCTACATTTTAATCTATGAATCCATAACCACTCCTTTTCTTGAGATATCAAGCTAGTACATACAAAAGCCTTTTTCAAAAAAGGGCTTTTGACTTCGTGGCCTTCTTATGTATGTTTCTGAGGTGTACAAACAACTCTTATCCTGCCCAGTGTACAGAAGAGGTCTGCAAAAGTTAAATGCATTTTCCACAAATGTAATGTTGATGGTGTAAGGAAAACGGTGCTGGTGCCTTTAACCTCCAGCCAGGGCTGAATTTTCCAGACTACTCTGCCCATCTTCAAAAATCCTGGAATAACAAATTTCTTGAAGATCTGGACATACACATACCCTTCTCTGAATTAGAATACTGTGTTACTTCTTTATTGAATTAAGTAATTATATTGCTAAAAGCAATATTTAGCCATTATGATAAGGTTAAAGTATATATTGATCTATTTCGTTTTTCTGATAGATTTCAGACCTGTTTATTCTTACATGTGTGTTGAAATCAATTGTCTTTAATCCATGGTCTTGTGAGCTAAGGCTCTGTTGTGACAAGTACATGTCTTCTGTTTGCATGTTGATTTTTAAGGCTTCCCTGAAGTAAATATGTGTGTGCTATCTCTTCACAACCCAACTCAGATGTCTAACCTGTTTTTCTCCCCTCAGTATTAATGAAATCTTGCATGTAGCCTGCTTTTTATGGCACTTGAATGTACCAATGTGGATGATTTGGTTAATGTTGTCTCAAATATTTTGTTTTGAAATCTGAGTTCATAGAGTTGTCAAACTGAGATTATTGCACTTTACTTCTCAATACTTACCAGCTGATGAAACTTCTAAACAAGACTTTTTAAGGTGGTAGCTTCTTAGAGTTAAAAAAAAAAAAAGAGAACAGTAGAGCCAAGACTCTTGTCCTTTAATACCCACCACTGTTATTCTATTTTTTTCTGGAGACGTGTAGAAATAATACTCTGGCATTTACTGAAAACTGTGACTAGGTTATTATAGGCTCTCCAAAAAGATGGGAAAGAAGTGAGAAGCACGTTAAAATTTAAAATCTGGTATAAGTGTATATCTTTCATGTCTATTTATAAGAAATATTTTGTAATTAGGCATATTTA